TGGAAGCGATGGAATTACGCGGCGTCGGCGACACTGCACATCGCAGCAGATAACGCTGCTTTGCGCCCAACACACGACTGTGGTGATGTGAAAAACAGCTGGCAATCCCCAGTCCTGGTGGTTCAATCCGTCAGTCAGTCCATGCGCCAGCAACGCGGGCTGGGGGAGGAACATGGTTCAGCTGCTTCTGCCACCCATGCAATCAACCCAGGCTATTTTGGGATTGACGTGGTATATCGGGCCAACTCCGCTCTCACTCCACACCGGGTGGCCGCTATGCCCACGCGAAGTGCGTTGCCCCTCCATGTGGGCTGAGGGCTTGCATATGCGCGAATGCTCGGGCGGTTCCCCAGAATCATGTCTGCTTTTCTTGTAGCTTAGACCAGCCGGATCAGCAAAAAAGGAAGACCATCCCCTGTACAACGCCATCTATGGGGCGCGCTCAGCCATAGGGCAGAATCAGGCACCTTTCCTGACAAGCGCTCTATTTGCCCCTCTGCAGTAACACAATAGTGATTCCAAGATCTTGTCTTAAGATACCAGAATTACTCCCGAGGTTCTGTCGTATCTCTGGATATCATTATTAACATCCTAGAAAAATCTTCCTCGTGTTTAGCAGGAGTGCAGCGTGGTAGACAATTTTGTGTTTCTGTATTCTATGACCCGAGCCAGCGCAACCGTCCAACCCGCAAGTGACCAGAACCCTAGCCGTTCACCTGCTCAAAATATACTCTATTTACACACAGCAGGATGTCTGCCACAAATCACAGCGGTCCTACCATCCATACAGCCTTGGTACTCTCCATCCAGCCCAGCTCGACTTCCCCCCATCCACCCCCGCCCACCCATGCATATGCACGAATAGCTCAGCCGCTTCCCCCAAAAGTCATGGCTGCTTTTCCCATAGTTCTGATCAGCAACGCGGCAAAAAAAAAAAACGAAGATCCCCCGCATACTTCCAGATGCAAGTGCAGGTGGGTAAAAAAACGCCTCTTTGGTGGCTGACACGCCAACGCAAGTCATATCACAGGCGATCGGCTCTGGGACAAGAACAGCCAGTCCTGCTACTGCAGCGAACATCATCATCACATTTGGAGTTGAAAGAGAGTGCGCAGCTGCCAACGTTACCCACCTCCAATCGGCCGCTAGTCACGTGACGGAGATGTAAATATAACGAGAATGGTGAGATTAGAAAATCTATGGAGAGTTTGATAAGTCGCTACTTCAGTTGATATTAGAAAGAACTTGGTCCAAGGGCGTGCTTGAAGAACATGGAGTAAAGAAAAGAACAAGGCTATACCAATACAATTCTTTTGAGCCATTTCAACTGTACACCATGCATACACACACTCACACGCACACGCACACAAAGAACGCAACTAAACTGACTATACTTTGCTCCCAGAACCGTGGCCCTTTTTGAACCAACCTATGCTAATAATGCTGCCGACTCCCAAATGATATGGTATAGTTTCGTTGCCTCTCGCTCTCTCTGCCTTCCCACACCGTCTCTCCCCTCCTCTCTCCAAAAGTGATCCAACGCCCTTAGATTTCCTCCTCGCCCTCCTCGCATTCTGTGGTATCCGGTGTTCGTATCGCTCATTAAGTTCTGAAAGATTATGATTGGAAATAAAGGGAAAAAGAAAAAGAAAGGAGAAGACAGGAACATAGAAGATGAAGAAGCCCAGCGCCATGCAATATGCAAGCCAGAAAACATTTCCGACAACAAAAAGGATGATATGATTGGTTAAAGGAAACTTGAGAAAGACAAAGGGGGAGGGATTATAGAATAATGCTTTCGTGACCCCCTCTTCAACTCGCAGCAACACACCAGTGCCGATGAAAAACCCAAGCACTCTTCTGGCATTCTTTACTGCAGTACTTTGTCCTTCTGCAGCGGCGGCACTTGGCAAACTGACGGGTGTATTCTTCCCATCGGCCGCACTGGTAGTATGCACACTGCCTGATACCGCCCCTCGAGTCGTCTTTCCGACACAGGTTGCGCATAACAACGCTTGCCCAGTACTGCATGTCGGATGTGTGGTGTCGGACGGTGAATTGCTCAACGAGGGGGAAGATGTTGAAGTCATCTGGGAGTTCGTATTCTTCGAGTTCTTCTTCCTCTTCTTCTTCTCCTTCTCCTCCTTCTGCGGACGCCTTTGGTGTCTTGACTTCGCCGTCGAGGAGCTCATCGGCAATCTTTAGTTTGGGTACGAGATGGGATTTCTGGAAGTAAGTCCGGAGGTTGCAGTATTTTGACACGTAGGCGAGAAGCTGGAGGGACATGAGGACGTCTTCGTCACGAGGCATGGCTGCGAGCACACTAGCTGATGCATTACGTTCTTGCTGGTACCGTGGTAGCCAAGGAGGCGGCGGGTTGGTGTTTACGACGTTGATAGTCGGTTGCATAGGAGAGAAGCCAGTGATTGGGTTGTTGGGCGGTGTGTTGGTGGGGTTGATTAGACTTCCATCGAGAGCAGGACGGTGGGTAATGTTGAACGTCTCGTTGTTCTCATCTGTGCCTTCTGAAGGGGCAGCGATAGGAACCGGTGTGTTGCCAGCATCCAGCATCTCTGCATTATCGACAATGTCAGCCATGTTGATTTCATTATTCTGTATGCCGACGATTGGCTCGTTTACAGACGGACCAGCCGCTGTGGCAGCCTCTGCGGACATGTCATCTTGTTGTGCCTCCAAGTCCGACTCTCCTGATACAGACAATTGGTGTCGGATGGATGGGCGGCGACGTGTTCGGGCCAGCCCCGCTCTTGGGCTTGTCTGGCGTGCCTGTGGGGCGCTCGGGGTTGTCGGTGACTCTGGTTGGGAAGTGATCTCCCCTTGCAGGGCGGGGAGCATGGAAGGCAGTCGATCAGCATCTCGCACCGGCCGTAGCGCAAAAGCATCGGGAGCTGGTTCCATGGAAGGTAATGCGGTGACCAATGGCTGACCTAGATTACGCGTGTTGTTGCCGGGAGCGCCAAAGAGCTGTGGCCGCCCTTCGTGGCTGCGATGGTGGTGGTGGTGGGCAGGTCGACCACGTGTAAATGTCGTCCGCTCGGGAGGAGAGCTCAGTGAGAATGCAGGAATGGGGTTCGCGTCGCCCAGAGATTCGGCTGGCTGGGGTATCTCAATCGGAGGGGGTATGATGCGTCGTGTTCGATCAGCTCGGTGTCCGGAGCTTGACGCAACCTCGCCAGTCCGCGACGAGTGGTGTCGGCTCGATGCACCGAGACGTGCAGACTTGTGGATTTCGGCTTCGGCTCGTGCCCTCATCTTGTCGACGACCTTGATGTAGTTGTCGAGAATGGATGCGATGACAGGCACCATGTCGGCTTCGACGACACGCGTCCTGACATTCTCAGAGCCACGCACGCCGATGTTGAAGATGCACTGGAAGGCCAGGTTCCACTTCCACATGTCCATCATGTCCTTGCTCCGGCCCTCTTTGAGGATGCATATCAGGCGTTCGATGCCGCCATCGACGGTGAGAATGTCGCGTATGCGTGCCGAGGATGTGGTGAGGTAGGCGAGGTGGTTCAGCGAGTTGATGAGCGGGAGGGTTGATGTGCAGTCGAGGGCGCGGCGGTCGTAGAGGGCGGTGGTGATGCCAACCGAGGCCTTGTTGGCGTTGGGGATGCTGAAGTTGACTTCGCGCATGTTTGGTGCTGTGCGGTGCCGTGGATGAGCGGATGGGAAGGAGCTGGGCGGGCAGCAGCCAGTTGTTTGTTGTTGGCTCCGGCTCTGACTGAGGCTTTGGAGGGGCCCGTGTGGTGGTGGTGGTTGAAGAGCCGCTCGAGGGTGGGAGAAAGCCGACGGGGTCGTATCACACGACTAACGACGACCGGACTCGGGCGAGACGGGGCTGATGGTTGAGCAGCCAGTCAGGCAGGCAGTGATGGGCAGCGCAGAGGGATGGCGATGGTTGTCGACGGCGTCGACGGGAGATGAGGCTTGTTTGCTGTTGTTAGGGGGACCAGGATTGCTTCACGGGCGCTGGCTGGCTGGGAGGCAAGAGCGCTCTCTCGCGTCGCAGTGGGAGGCCACGCAACACTGGCTGTGGTGGGCGACGTCGTCTATGGGCTGTCGTGCTAAGGCTGGACTATGCTATGTTGGATGAGGCTGTCGGCGATGAATGGGGTGTAAAGAGGCGGTTCGGGTGAGAGGTCATGGGCAGTGGAGCAGCTAGTCCCACAGTTAAGGATTGGCACGCCCGCCCAGAAGGGTAGCCTCGAACCGCTAATTTCATGCGCTACGGGCAAAGAGAGCACCGAAATGACTGCTCACCTGCCTTTGACACCGGAGACAGCTTACCTGCCTATGTTACTGGAGACAGCTTACCACGCAGTACTCCCAATGATTGGAAATACAGTCGTCTTCAAGTGACAGCCCGACAGTCATCTCCCCGACGCCCAAGCACTTGCGCAAAAACTCACGCCACAGGTGGCGCGCTTACCTCTGCCAATGCCATGTAGCCATGAAACCTCTGCACCCACAGCTTTGCCAGCAGACTGTCGCTATTAAAGGCTCATCTGCAGCCGCCTGCATGATTCGGCGCCATTCTCGAGGCTGCGTGGGGCGCCGGCCGACTGCACGATGCTGCTGACAAAGGCGCACCTCTTCTTCGGCGCCTGTGTCACCACGAAAACAGTAACTCGGCACGTCTGACTAAACACCTTTCTGAACGAGATACATGTCTCCTTTTGGCTGAATTGCACGCCTTCCGATGTAGATATACGTGTATACAAATCACTTGAATTGCTCTGTGGGGTGCAGGGCCTTTACGCAGCTGTCCCGTAGTGATGGAGTTCATTGGGCACATGAAACTTCTCCGCAGCCCAGTGGTTGTGATTCCACAACCTGTCTGCAAAGGAGAAACCCCAGCTCTCAACCAATTCGCGCGTCGCTACCAATGGCTGTCGCATTCTATTCTTCACTCTCGTTAACCTGAAATATTCGCCAGGATTTTTACAGCCCAAGTACAGCAGCAAGCAGACGTCGCCATGTCGTCTCCACACGAAACCAGAGTCCAAGACTTTGCATCCGCTCCACCCGCTCCCGACCAGCCAGAGCGGTCTGCCTCAGATTCGGCCGCGCCTCCACATTTGACCATCGATACACAGCTCGACGAGCAGAGACGTCGCGGCCGCTCTGCAACTGCCACAACCGCGACTGCGGCACATCCCAACCCAGAGGAACTCCTTTCCCCTGATCGCTTCTCGGTAGACTCGACCCTGCGCCGACGCATAACGCGCTCGCACACGGTAAAGCACTACAGTCCCCACCAGTCCCCTACGCGCCCATACCAGCACCAGGAGCCAGGTGCTGAGCCGGGTGTCGACACAAAGAACGAAACCGAAGCAGCCAACTACCACCACCTCTACGCGCGATGCCAAATTACCGTTGTAGACTTCTCCGACGAGCGCGTCGAGTGCCATGAACTGGACAATGATACACTCGAGGACTTTCTCAACTACCCAAAAGAAGACTGGGTGGCATGTCGGTGGATCAACGTCAACGGCTTGTCCTGGGACGTGATTCGCACCCTGGGAAACCACAAGCAATTGCACAGGCTGGCGATTGAGGATTTGATGAGCACCCAGAGCAGGACCAAGGTGGACTGGTACTCTGACCAGGCCTTCTTGCTCCTGACTCTGTCTAAGCTTGTCCGGACCCCCATGGACGAGGACTTCGAGAGCGACTCTGATTCCGACTCTGACGACAGCGAACGACGACGGCACAAGGCCCGATCACGGTCCCGCTCGCGCCATTCGCAGAAGAAGAAGAAGAAGCCCAAGAAGCCATCGCTGTTCAAGACGGCAAAGAATCTGCTCTTTCCCAAGAGCGAGGCCAACAAGCAGACGCGCCAGGATGAGATGATGAGCACACTAGACGGCCTGGAGAAGCAACTTGACGGCACGCCTTTCGAAAAGGTCAAAATGTCCACTCCCCCAGCGACCACCGCCGTACGCACTCTCCAACGATACCGCGGTGGTTACAACCTCGATCGGATTGTCTATCTCGAACAGCACTCGGCCCTCACCGAAAAGCACCTCACGGTTAGCGTGGAGCAAGTCAGCATCTTCTTGCTAGCCGACAACACCGTAATCTCCTTCTTCGAGCACTCAGCCGACGACGTCGAAGACATGATTCTAAAACGTCTCCGAACAGAAGACACCATCCTCCGCCGCAGCCAAGACAGCAGCATGATTGTGCAAGCCATCATCGACGCCATTGTCGATCTCGCCATACCCGTGGTCGCCGCCTACGAAGACGCAATGGGCGAGCTGGAACTCGACGTCTTGGAGGACCCTGAATTGCACCACTCTCAGCTCCTCTACCTGCTCACTTCTGAACTGTCTATCCTGAGAAATACCATTCAGCCCATCGTCTCGCTGATCAACTCTCTCCGCGACCACAAGGCTGATCCCATGGCCCAGGCTGTGCAGGCTATGACTATGAATTCGCATCCGTCGTCGAATAATCTCGCTACTCGCAAGACAATGTCTAGCATCAATATTAGTCCTTTGGCACACACATATCTTGGCGACGTGGAGGACCACTGCATCATGATTACGGCCAGCCTTGATCAAATGGTGAGTTCTTCTTATCAATCATGCCTAAGCCCGGCTTTGCTAACTTGATCTTGTAGCGTCGCGCAGCCGACAACCTCATCGACCTCATCTTCAACGTCATGGGCGCCTACCAAAACGAAAGCATGAAGATACTCACCGCCGTAACCATCTTCTTCCTCCCCTTGACTTTCCTCGTCGGATACTTTGGTCAGAATTTCGAACGCTTCAATGGCGTGCAACACCACTCGGACGCCTTCTTCTGGATCATCGCTGTGCCCGTCATGGTTATCACGCTGCTTGTGCTCATGGCCGATCGCATTGCGAGGAAGGTGAGGGGCTGGATGGGCAAGCTGAAACGTCGCGAGGCTAAGAGACGAGCGGTTAGGAAGGGGAAGGTGGGTGGGAATGGCATTTTGGGCGATGGGATTGGGTTGAGCAATGGATTGGTGGGTGGGAATGGATTACTGCGTAAGGATGGAAGTAGGGGGATGAGTCAAGCGCAAGGGATGAGGCAAGGGCAGGGGTTGAGGCATAAGAGGAGGCAGACTATGTATAGTAAGGGGAATATTGGGAGTTTCTAGAAGGACGTGTGTGCGCGTGTGTGTGCGTTTTGCATATATGTTGATCTTGTACGGCGGGATTAGAAAGGTGCAGCAATCACTTTGACTGCCGCGGTATGGGCATAGACTAGAGTTGTGTAATATATAGATGTTACAAGATGAACAGGTGTACCGTATACAGTAGACAACCTTACCAGATACAGAATCAACAGGCTCTATCTTGCAGCTTACATTAGCTCCTAGTAAGAGAAGCTATAAAGATTGATAGCATTGCAGACTTCAAGGTTTTTCATCTATATCTACATGCCTCTTGATACGCTTTGTTGTAGCATGAATAAGCACACTGCTTTGAAACGATCTCCATTTTAGCTCTTTGACGTAGTGGCACAGAAAATGGCCTCTACTATCTCTCCCAATCTTTTATGAGCGAAGGTTTCCGTTGGCATCACGGTATGGGCAGCCCGAGTCCTTATCACACCTATTCTTTCCCTTGGGGCAAGGCTGTCCATTTCCAGTCTTGATATCGCAGCAGTCCGCGCTCTGTCGTATCTAACATCAGCCAAGTCCTTCTATCCTGTCAAGGAAGGGGTTGAGAGGGTAGAAGAGAAAGAAGAGGTTCCAAGTCGGACTTACACATTTCTCAGTGGGAATACCCATGTTGATACAGAAGTTTCCGGATTCTGCGTTGCCAACTTGAGTGCATGCTATGCCGCCTCGTTGCCTTAGACAGGCGTCTGCGCCTTGGTCGCCACCCCAGCAGCAGTCTTTGTCGCCGGTAGTACCAAAGCCGCTCTCAATGTAGCACTAGAAGAAGGAGGATGTTAGTAGTGTATTTCTCCTCTCCCTCATGGACATCGCGAGGTTGTGTGCGAGAGGTCGGGGGCACATACTTCAGCTTGGACGCTCACACCTAGAGCTAGAAGGAGGATGGGGGTGGTGAATTTCATCTTGTTGATGCGAAGATGGTAGATTGGTGTTCAGAGTGGATGGCTTTGATAGTGCTTGAATTCGAGGTTGTGGTGAGGTCGAAAGTGGTGGACACCATCTTGTCTTTAATAGTAAACACTTCAGATTTGGGTCCGCCCACGCCTTTATTCATGCGCTATAGCAAGACTATCGTTGTTCCAGCCCCAAATACTACGGCGATGAGGAGCAATAGAGAAGGTCCGACTAGGGCTGCACATCATTGTTCAGTCTTTGCTCACGTCACCTTTTAGCGTCACAACATGGGTATCTTACGTTGCAACGGTTGCGGCAACAAAAGATCGGGTGCCTAGGGCAGTCGTGTGTATGCTAGCAGGAGTTTCATTCGGCACTTTGCCTTGTCTTGATTCACCCAATGTCGCTTTGAGTATCATCTTCCTGTCGTTCAGTGCAATTTTCTTACATTGGTCACTTTCATATCATCTCAAGAAGTACTCAGGTTCTTATTGTTCGATTGGCAGCAAATCATGCATCCGGCTCAGGCTGTCCTGACTTCTTAGGTTTATCATTGTTCCAGACGTGTTTCCGCTAGGCATCCTTTCTTGTTCGGTGTCAACGTGGTACATCCTCATCTATGCTCCCTGTTGAAAGCTCTTGGTATGCGGTATGGATTACTATGCATCCTGTAGGGTTCTTGGGGGGTTGATTTTGATGTTCGCAGATCAACCACATTAGTCTCGGAACTACATAAGCGCCATGGCTTCTATCCCTAAGAGGCAACCTAATTCGAGGCTAGCCGGAACGTGGCGCAAGCAAGATGGGCTAACTAAGGCTGGAACATGGATGTTGACAGAATCGGGATGTGAAGAGGTATCCCACAGACACCCCATCCTTGCGGGCCGTTGAACGGGGCCATAAGCCTCATGCACTAGCGTTGAGCCTCACGCGCTAGGTCTAAAACCGCCTTGTTCCTGATCTCTAGCTAATAGTTCTTCCAAGGTTGTGCCGAAAATTACTCAAGTGGGAGTAGTGCGTCCCAATTACACCGAAAGGTGGCACTTACGCAAGCTCAATCGCGACCGGGAACTACCCGGGTATCTAACCAAGTGTGAAGCTGACCTCGAATCGAACTAAAAGTGAAGCAGACCTCGAATCGAATGAAAAGTGAAGCCGACACCAAGAAATCTCCATGAGATCGTCTTTCTTGCGTACGAAGCGCAGGCGGTGAAAGTAATCATCCAAACCAGCACAACCCCTTATCCATAGCACCTCGTTAGGTCAATCGTCTTTGGTCAATTGACGATACTTATAAGAGCGCTGGCCGACTTCTTCATCTGCAACAACCAGCCTCTTGTACCGATCTTGTTCTCTAAACGACTCTCCATTCCTTCGCAAAACCTCTCCTATCCTCCGACCTTTACAATGCAACTTACCTTCCTCCTCAGCGTGCTCGCAGCCACTGTAGCTGTCCAAGCTTCGGATGTCTACAACCAGGTAACACACGTGCTGTATATAAGACCTGACCAAAAATGATTAACATGCTCTCTCCAGTGCGTACCAGACAAAGATTGCTGCTTTTCTACCAAGGGGGCTTGTCAGCGACAGGCCAGCGTTTGGATAGAGAAATACTTCCAATGCGGACAAGTCAAGAAATGTCCCGACTATGGAGTTTCTCTACAAGACTGCGTAAGTGTTTTTCTGCTCTTTTGTTTGATTTGTTTGCGTGCTGACGTCTTTTCCTTCAGAATGCGGACTGCTGTAGCATATCTACGAAAGGAGGTCGCGGTTGCCCTGGTAAATAAATGGGATCGATTGTCACAATACCGAAGTGCGTCGCATTTGAATCTCTCCCCTGCGTCTTGCTGCTCCGTCTGTTACCCTGTTGTTTGGACACCGCCTGATATCGCAGTCATGAACGTGGCTACTCGAGCAATTGGAACTCCTTGATGAATCCCTCTGTTTCATCATTCTGATGGTCTGTAACAATCTGCTTGGAGATTGACGCTGGAGTATATCTCTTGTGTCTTTCAGGAGATTTCCTTTCTGACTTGCCACCTATGAAGAAGGCTTGGAGCTACAAGGGCACATGTCATGTTGTTGTCGGTTTGAAGGGCGGCGTCGGCACATACACGGCGGATTAGCATTTGATGATATCTTGCTGTAGATCGTACAAAGAATATTAGTACTGTTTTTGTCATCTTCTTCCCTTCAACTCACTCGAATGACAGTGGTAATCCAAAGTACTTCCAGTATGTCTATCGTTCACCAGTGAAAGCCATTACGGAAGAGCCCTTTGTGTATTGGGGTTCGTTCCAGTCATTCTCCAGCGAACATTGTGACACATGAGGGTGACACAGCATTTTGAGCTCAGGAGCGCTAATCTCGTATTGTTCAACTATGCTATCGTTAATATCGTCATAGTTGACTGTGCGATTTATCGGTTCGAGCGTCCATTAGATATGCAAACCGTTTGAAGTACTTATTAGGTGCTTTCGCGCTTGGGAATCTGTCGAGGATCCGGCCTGATGACCAGAATGATGAGTAGGGGTCTCTCTTAGCCTTACCGCTCGTTTAGCACCTGGTATGTCGATCAAGAATGAACGAACGTGTGATGTCGTTCTCCCTTTTTACTTGTTGATATAGTCGTGATCGCTATTGAGGTTGTGCATTGCTGTGCGGCGTGATCGTGATAGCTTAAGTGTCCCTGCCTAGCTGATAAGCGATGGTGTGATCATGTGGCATCTCCGGTCCTGTCGCTTGGCTAGGGGCGCACTTGGCCCCCTCTCCGCCCGCCTCAGAACTGGGTATCGTACGATCAAACCCCCAATAACTCTCGATGAACACTCGAACGTGCTTTTGCCACGCTGATCAACCTTGCTGTGGACTGTCGATCAGACTTCGTACTGTCGCATTCAGTGCCGTATTTCCGTATCGCAGTGCGATGACACCAGGCACTTTTCCTTGGAGCTTCATGATAAGTCTCATCACGTTCGTAGGGCTGCTTACGGTGATGACCAATTTTGCCGTTACATTTCCGGCCCAGACAACCGCGAATCGTGCTAAGCTTGCGCAGCCACGCCAAGCGTGTCAGGCTGAACCTCTCCATCAGCGCAAAATCTACGGATGTTCTTCACAACGCCTGCTCCTTGATCGCAGAACAAGTGACGTATGATATTGGACCCCATCGCAGCATCGCTCCCTCACAAGCCCATGCCCTGTGCATCACTCACTCGGAACACCATGGAAGGAGTACCGTCAGCTACGAAGTTCAAACACGAACCCCTCCCGGATTCGAATACACACATACGACTGCTAGGAATCCAGGGCATCGATGCATATGATCATGTAGTTTGTCTTCTTACCGCCTGGCCAGTTGAACAAGCTCCAGATTACTATGCTTTGTCGTACGTCTCTCATACGCATACACAGCACGCGCAGCATACTGACCGATCGTCTGCGGTATCAGATACACCTGGGGCTCACCTAATTCAAGTCATGAAATTATTATCAATGGATGTATCTTCATGGCAGGTCGAAATTGCGTCTATGCGCTCAGACAGGCGCTTTCAACGAAAGCGAGCAGGTATTTCTGGATGGACGCTCTCTGCATCGACCAAAGCACCACACAGGAAAAGAGTCACCAAGTGGGTATGATGGCACAGATATACGCAAGATCGCGACATGTATTGGCGTGCGTTGGGCCTCGCATCGACGTCATCGAGTATTGCAGGCCCTACAAGGCAGACGGCACGTATCAATGGGCTTCCAAGGAAGAAGACGCGTACTTGACGCACAGGGACGATAACACGTTGTTGTTTCGATTCATCGATAGGCACAGATCACTTTTGGCCAGCATACACCGGCTCACCCTCAGGTCTGGCTTTGAGCAGACTCGCAACTGGGTAGAACCTAATCCTATCCCGAAAAGCTCTTGGATCGCGCTGCGATGCTTATGTGCGTTCAGTCCTCGTCTAAGACAAACAGTTGCAACCAAGTTCTTCACCTTCATGAAACGCCCATATTTTTCTCGAGTTTGGGTCTTGCAGGAGCTTCATTTGGCCCCAAACATCTCGCTTTGTTGTGGCACGGACGTGCGATCGTTTGACTATCTGCTGGCCGTCAGCATGCTGGTAGACTTCTGGATCAATATCTCTAATTACAAAAAGTCTTTGACCTTCACTGTCTCGCTCATGGCAAGATTGTTTTCAAGGCAGCAATGGTTCTTGCGCCGACAGGAATCTTGCGCGACGGAGATATTTGAGGAAAAGTTCCGCGCAATCCAGAACCAACGCGGATGTCTATCCCTCGCTTCTGGTACTGGAGGACGCCGCCGATTGGCAGTGATCTTAGAGGTCATGCATAGTTTTGGATGCACTGACGTACGCGACAGACTATTCGGCGTCTTGGCTCTGGTAGACTGGGGTCCTGGCAAGGCTGTTGTACCAGACTACGAAAAGGACGGCTACCAGCTTGCTGTTGAAGTACTTCAACTATATCTCGAAAACTCCGAAACCAAACCTGTCTCTGGAATGGCTATCGAGTGGCCTCGCCGACTATGGAAAACCTTTGGAGTTGAGATCCAAGGGCAGGCAATACGAAACGCGAAAGTGAAGAGATACAATGGCTATACGATACCGCACTATCAGTCGCCATTATATTTCGAATTCGATCCTCCCCATATTAGGAAACCATTTCGCGGTGTCAATGGTACTACAGTGGACCCTGGCGATGAATCAGGGCATTCGAGAGATATCTGGTATGGGGTCAGGCTGCTTGAGAACCCGGATCTCCGCAAAAGTGCCTTGGGTTCAAGCGACCTAGCGCCGCGTTATCTTTGGTGCGAGGAGCATGATTCAAGATTCTCGTCCAGGGTCACGTCTCCTCTTGTAAAGATTTTCGATCAAGAGAAGCGATCATTCGCATGGGCACCAGCAGACACGAAACCGAATGACTGGCTACTGTTTAGTGCAGCAAGTACATGGTACAATCGAACGCCTGCGATGGTCGTAGTTAGAGACGGCGATCCAGATCTTGGTACGTTTCTTATCATCGGTCAAGCGTCGAGGAATCCTGGATACCCGTATGGATATCAATACGAGAAATCTATCTTGGCATCCCTCGAGTGGCGACACTTTGAATCCAACTGGCACGCGGAAGACTTGTTTTTCTTCGACTGGAATCACAGAAACCGTTCAGTTGCTTTAGTTGCCAACAGGCCAACGATGGTGGAGACGTCGAAATGGCTAAAGATGGAGGTTTGTGCCTACAAAGGCTCATCATTCTTCAAAGGCCCACGCACCCCAACATCGGATCATCAGAAGCATGCGGCAAGGGTGGTCAGTCAGTGGACAGGAAGGCACACGGCAAGACAGTATGGCAATGCTGCACCGCTACCCGCGCGGTTTCTCACGCTCATGCGATAATGGTATGAGTCGGTTTCTTATCTCGTCACGTCAAATGATGGACTGGCAAGCCCCACTGCTCGATCAACGCTACCATCTCCAACCACAGGCTGTAGAACAACACACGGCAACTCGTTCCACTACTTTTCACTACTGGCGACCACAATTCTGGGTAACGTACTGACTGCATACGAAACAACGTCGTCGATTGGATTGTGCCAAAAGCATGTACCGCAAAGATTATAAGAGTCAACTATCGACTACCACTTCCTCACCAGCAACCCACTGCTCTTTCATCATCACCCATCTCTTGATTCTCTCACCACGTCTGTTTCGTTTCCGTGGGTGATCGCTCTTGGCAAAAATTGCTTGATATCAGTGGGCTTCAAGGAGTTTTAGGATGGGACTTGCCCCTATGGCAGCCGAGGTGACGACAGGCAAGATAAGTTCAAGATACAAGTCTAACTTGTGCAACTACCAAACGAACTTTGGCAGCCCTTTGAAGCGGCGCAGTAATCTGCGGTGCCACCACAGTTACCGTACTTACTGCAGCATAGGCCAGTCTTGCAAATGTAGCCAGCATTGTTGCCTTTTCCAACGTCCCCACATGTGCCATCTGGAGAGACGCTCCCCCTTACAGAAGCGGTATCGCATTTTCCAAAAGCGCTTTGGCAGACAGTGGCAGCACAGTAGTCTGACGTTGTACCACAGTTGCCGTACTTGCTACAACACGAACCAGTCTTGCAGATATAGCCTTTGTTCTTCCCACTTCCCACATTCCCGCAGGTGTTGTCAGGCGTGATGCTCCCTGGTCCGAGAGGCGTCGCAGCCGTATTGGGTGAGGTAGCCGTTGCAGTGTTGTTGGAAAAGACAAAACTTGATGAAGGCACATTGGTAGCAGCAGGGGATGAAGGTACGTTGGTAGCAGGAGGGCCGGACGTCATGCTGGCCTCGTCGCGGTAGGAAGATGAAGATATCGGGGGGTTGCACAACCCAAAAGCTGGCTGACAGACGTTCGCAGCGCAGTAGTCGCTGGTGCTTCCGCAGCTTCCATATTTACTGCAGCACCGGCCGCCATTCGGAGGGCAAGTCCAGCCCATATTGTTGCCAGCGTTGATGTTGCCGCACCTTCCATTGAGGGAGTAAACTACGGTCGGGCCAGCATCAGCGCTAGACATCTGTATCTTTGTTAGTATTCTGCTCAATAGTACTGGAAATCTGAATTACGCACCGTATTGGTGGATTTTGGTTGGCGAACCGAGCGGTACCACTGTGAGGTCGATGATTCACCTAGACATTCTGCAACAGTCACAGTCTTGATGCCTCTGCTTTGCACTACCGAGATCATGTAGTTGATGAGCTCGTCATGTGTCCAGACTTCTTGATCGTGAGCTTCGACGATGGTGTAGCCTTGGTCAAGACCATCGATGAAGAGCTGCTTTGCTGTATTGATCCCGGTTTCCGATTGGTACTCCCAATCTTTAGTATTTAGGTCACCAATGATAACGTGGTACTCAAGGTCTTTGAGAACACTAAGGGCGTTGGCGTTGAGTGACAGGAATGGTGGTCGCATGTAGTATGGAAAATATCCTAGGATGTTCATCATAGCTTCCTCGAGTAACGTCATTTCTTGTCGTACTCCGTCGGCGGTCAAAGTTGCAAGGTCCTTATGGCTCCAAGTATGCGAGCCAATTTGATGCCCCATGCTAACCATTCTCTGTAGAGTTGAGTTATAGTCGTAGATGTTGCCCTTGTTAGCTCCGTTGATGAACCAAGTCGCCTTGAAACCAGCGGCTCCCATCCTAGATGTCGTCTTAGTAAGCTCATTGATCGCCAAGACCTAGCCACAGATCGCATACCTGTTGAGGATATCCTCGGAATAGATCCATGGCCCGTCATCGAAACCCGGAGCAATAACCCCAGGCGTAGTACACGAATAGATCTGCAACCCGAACGGAACGGCGGAAGCGAGGGAGACTAATGCGGCGAGAGCACTAACTGCTCCCGTTACCCTACCAAATCCCTGGCTCATTTCGAAGTTCAAGTATAGTTCGGCAGGTAACAGATAGTGGGGTATTGAAGTTTGGACCGAGTGACAGCTAACTGACCGGTGTTTGGAGGCTGAAGTTTACCAATGCAAAGGTCATGCAGATCTGGACTGACAGCGCAATTTAACTGATCCCAGACCATTGTATTTAGTGTAGAATCGGTGCAGCCGAAAGGCCACCAAGTTCAGCCGCAGTCGAGACTCTTCGTAACGAAAGCCATCTCGTACTGCTTCGAGCCACTCGTCGTTGCGAGTCCATGACAGCTCAGCAACATGGCTGGCTGGATGCTACTAATGTGGATGAATTGGCGCCGCAAACTTTGAACCCTAGGCTGTAGAGGGCAAGCGTACAGGTTGCAAGAGTCTGGATTCATGCTGGTTCTGGCGGGAAACACTAATTCCGCATCTCCCCGCGTTCAGCTGACCACTAAATGGGGTAGAACTAGAACAAATCTGGCGCTCGCTGCAGATGCTCTGCTAGATGGTACCAAGGCATATCTCAGCTCGATCTCAGCAGACTTAGTAGCGTGTTCGCCACGAATTTCACTCAAATCACACGCAGTCTCTGGATTGGAGAGCACGCGGCATGACAGACACCCATGATCTGCCACTCTGATGGAAACGAGCAGCTGGAAGTATAAGTATAATACCGCAACTAAAGAGGTACAATCTATCAGAATTCGCTACGGAAAAAGCTCTATCGAAAACAACAGTTGCAACATCATCGTCCCATTCCAATCGTGGCCTCCTCATCGTTGACAGTTACCGTGTGAGGGGCCTTTTCATCAACAGCGTCGTTACTTGAAGCTTCCTTACCTGAGGCGTCGGTATCTTCCGAGATCACCTGCCGGGTTTTGCCCCAGGAGAAAGCGTCCAGGTGCCACATAGTGTAGAAAAGAACAAGGATAGTAAGGAACGGTCCAGTAAAGAAGTAGATGACCAGGCCGACCAGGAACTGGCACTTCGCCTTGCGGCCCTTTGGCATCCAGAAGACGAGGGTAAGCATGTACATGTATGGCACAATCACACCTCCCAAGAAGGCGACAGTAATATACCAGGGTACACTCCGGGCAGCGTGGATAAGTCCAGCGATCGAACCCATGATGAAGATGTTGCAGAACCACGTCTGACAGTTTGAGAAGGCGCGTAACCGTTCGAACCACTGAGTTCCTTTGGCGAAGACAAGGCGGAAATCGTTGACTGTCGCACCCATCGACCAACGTTTGCGTTGCGACATGAAGACCGAGAGCGAAGTCGGGACATCAGTCCATGCGACAGATTTGATCGATTGTCGGGTTTGAACATGTGGTGATGCAGTGAGAACATGGCAAACGTGGTTCCGGTCTTCGCTGTACGCACCACGAAGGTGCTTAAGCATGCCATCCGTCGGGCTCGGACAGTAGCCGAACAACGTTCGCAAAATGTGATCACCGTTGTTCTCTTCGCACACCTTCAGAATCTGGCAACATCCGGGAAGACAGGAGACCTTGTGGGTGACAGTAGACTGGTGTAGACGAGGCAAGCCTTGACTAATGGTGTAAGACGCATTCTGCATCAGGCGCCACATGTTCCACGGTCCGTCCTTGAAGTCTACCCAGACAACACCGCAAACGCCAAAGCACTTGGGGTACCGCGATTCAGAGATGAGGTAGTAGATGCACCATGGATCAAAGACGGTGTCTGCATCCATGCCGACAATCTGGTCAAAGTTGTTGATGCCACAGTCGTCGAGGACGAACGAGGTCATCTCCCCAAACAGCCTATTCGACATGATCGTTGTTGGTCTCTCGTGTCGCTGGTTGAACTTGTATGCTACGTGACAGATTAGTTGTGCGATCTAGAAAGAGGTTAGTTGCATTACCCACCGAACGAGCGGAGAAGGATAAGGCCATCGCGCTTTCCCTTGTTCGTCATCTTGACGATGCATAGGTAGTTGAGACCTCTGTATTGTCCCTTCTGCATGATGATGTCCATAGGCTCCTTGTCCCAGGCCATGTATGCATCCTTCATGTGTATGCGCGATGTCTTTTCCGTCAAGATCGTGTCGAGAAGACATTCGCCAGTGGTCTGCGTCATGCCTGGACCGCGAGCGCGACCATCACAGATGATGAAGACACACTGCTTGTGGTCCTCGATGCCTTTCTGCTCAACGAGTGAATCAAGAGATTTGCGAAGCTCCTCTTCGTTCTCGTTGTAGCATGGTATGATGAGCATGAGTGACTCGGGTGTCTCCGGCGCGGGGTTTTTCTTCTCGGGGCGGAAGAATCGGAAGGCTAGCCATAGGAGGAGGGTGATGACAACCGTGAAGTTGATGAACACACCGTACGTGATGAAGGGAAGGAAGACGTAATGATAGCCTTTGAACCACCAGGAGCCAAAGAGCAGGAAACCGCTAAAACGGGTTAGCAGGGTAGGCGAATGATCTCTCAAAAAGAACTTACTTCAAACCAAAGATGCAGCATTGGAAAGCGAGCTTCCGAAGCTTCATGAGTCTTTGGGCTCGTCGGACCTTCATGCCGTCCGGGTCTGAAAAGTCTGGCTTCTCGTCGACCATGTTGTTGAGTTCACCCAACTGTTTGACTCTCTCCTCACCACGTTTGGTGCAAGTATCCCACATGATACGATCACACTTCTCGTTGGTGAAGACCTCATTGCTGGGTGTGCCGGGGAGCGTAGTCCCTAAAGAGAGGGAGCTTTGGCGGTTGATGTTTCGGGAAGTGTTGTATTTCTCTGAAGCAGTGTCCCACTCATGCAGGACGTTGCTTAGATCTGGTCTCAGAAAGACATTCTCGGGTTCGGAAGGAAGGCTTGAAGCGAGAGGACGAGCTGACTCATTGGAAGACATCGTAGAACTTTTGGTACCTTCGAAATGAGGCAAAGACAAAGAGATGCTGTACAAGCAACATTGAAGGAATCCATCACTGATGTATCAATGCCATCGCTTCGTAGATCTGCAAAGAGTATAGACACATTG